CGAATTTTGAACAAAATATCTACACACAAATGCCGAAAAAAGTGCAAATAATCGACAACAATTTATTGTGGAAATTCAGTGAAAAAATCGACAGATGTATGTCGAAATTTAATAAAAAAATCGACAAGTACATGTCCATATGTTTAAAACCACAACTCATTCAACAATGGAGGTGGAATCTAACCCTAAAATCATCCACTATGATCTAAATGAACGTGTATTCGTTATTCTAACAACAAAATCATGTTTATCACATTTTGTTTCTCAAAAAAAGTTAATTCAAAAAGTAATTCCTTACTCGCATTTCGTGATTGTGGCGGCAGCAGTTGCAGGCAGCGGAAGTTGTGGCGGCTGTCGACTGCAACATCGACGACGGCGGACGACGGCGGCTGTCGACTGCAACATCGACGACGGCGGCGGTCGACTTCATCGGCGTCGTCGCTGCGTCGAATCTGCAAGTGGTCCTCTTCTTTCCCCCGTTTCGTTTTTCAATTGTTTTCGTTTTTTTTTTTTAATTTGGTCTTGCAAGAGTATTTGATGGAATTAAGTTTTATTTTGTTTGTATTTTACTAGGGTAAACAGCATAAAACACCCTGTGTTAAGGACAACCTGCACCAAACCCCCTTGTGTTTTTTTTCTTGCGTAAAACCCCCTTGTGTTTTATTTTACTTTGCACGAAATCCCCTTTCTGTTAAAAATTAACACCGTTAGCTATAAATGGAGTTTTATGCAAGTTTTTTGTAACATAGGGGGATTTGCTGCATGATTTTGCAAAACAAGGGGGGTCTACGCAAATTAATTTATTTATTTAAAATTTAAATTATTTTCTGAAATTAAGTCGAATATATCTATTAATTTAAAATATGAAATTAAGAAAATAATACTCGAGATGGGAGTTGAAAAAAATTCTCAAATTATATATGTTCTTTTCACATATAATTAATCAAGAATAAATTATAAACATATATAGTAATTCAAATAAAATAATTATATATTTTAAAAATTCAAAATTGATCATACATTAATAAATTATATCATATAAAAATTAATTTTTTTTAAAAAAAATTCACCACACCTATTAAATTTTTATTTTTCATATTGTATTTGAATAAATGTGTTCAATTCAATTTCAGAAAATAATATAAAATTTAAACAAATAAATTATTTTTTGCGAAAAATCCCTTGTATTGTAGAAAATATGCACCAAATCCCCCTATGTTACAAAAAACTTGCATAAAACCCCATTTATAGCTAACGGTGTTACCTTTTAACGGAAAGGGGATTTCGTGCAAAGTAAAATAAAACACAAGGGGATTTTACGCAAGAAAAAAAACACACGGTGGTTTGGTGCAGCTTTTCCTTAACATATGGGGGTTTTATTCTGTTTACCCTATTTTACTAAGGTCATTATAGTTTTTTTACACTTAATTTGGTATAAAATTTAATTTGGTCTTACCCTAAGTAAATTTTGCGATTGCATATCGTCGTCGCCTTAAATTATAAGTAGATTGAATATTTATTTATTAAAAAAAAAGGAAAAAAAATAGATGCGGATTTTTCCGGGGGTACCCGTGGGGATTTTATGGGGCGGGTATGGGGATTCATTTGGGAGAATTACACTTTTGGTCCATCATGTTTGGCCAGACTTCACTTTTGCTCCCCCTTGTTCCAAAGTGAACAAAGTTCACCTCCAAATTTCAATTTTAAACACTTTTGGTCCCCGCCGATACATGTCCGTTAGCATGTAACGGAAAATACTATTTAGGGGTGAAAATTGAAATTTTAAAATCTTTTAGGGTTGAAAATGATTATAAATTTAAAATAGACTACTTATAATTTTTAATAATAAAAAAAAAATTAACGAAACAAATTATTTTTTAATATACTTAATATTATTATAATTATAATACTTATAATTATTTTTTTAATAATAAAAAAATAACTAAACAAATTATGTTTAATCATTCTTAATATTATTTTTTAATTATACTACTTATGATAAAAAAAAATTAATAACAAAAAAATAAATTAACTGAACAAATTGTTTTTAATTATACTTAATATTATTATAATTATATTAGTTATAATTATTTTTTTAATAATAAAAAAAATAAATTAACTAAAAAATTTATTATTAATTATACTCTATATTATTTTTAATTATACTACTTCTACTAAAAAAAATTAATAATAAAAAATAAATTAGCTAGACAAATCATTTATAATTATACTTAATATTATGATAATTATACTACTTATAATTATTTTTTTAATAATAACAAAGAAATTACTTAATATTAGTTTTCATTATACTACTTATCTTTTTAATAATAAAAAAAATTAACTAAATAAATTTCATTATACTTACTATTGTTAAAAAAATAATTATAAGTAGTCTATTTTAAGTTTCTAATTCTTTTTCAGCCCCCAAAAAATTTAAAATTTTAATTTTTGCCCCAAAATAATAGTGTTTTCCTTCACTTGCTAACGGACATGTAACGGTGGGGACCAAAAGTGTTTAAAATTGAAACTTGGAGGTGAACTTTGTTCACTTTGAAACAAGGGAGACCAAAAGTAAAATCGGGCCAAACATGATGGACCAAAAATGTCACGGAATTCATTTTATAATGTTCGGGAATTTTGACAGGGATGGAGATAGGGATGGGGATTTTTGTAGCGGAGCGGGGATGAGGATTGCAAAACCGCCCCATTGTCATCCCTACCCCTACCCCTCCCTACTCCCATTGGATATGGTCTAAGAGCATCTCCGACCGAACACCATATATAACACCATTTTTTCATCTAATTTAGGTGTTTTTAGCCTCCCACCCAAAATTCCTATATCACCATTACACCTAAAATTATAGAGATTTGGTTTTAGCCTCCCACCGTGGTCAACCCCCATATCACCAAATACTCAAATCCTATTTTTCCACCAAATTTTTTGGTGAAGGAATTTTCATCTCCCACCGGTCCACAATTTTTCTATTTTTTCCACCAAATCCTATTTTTCCTACCAAATATAGAGGTGAAAATAGGATTTGGCGTAATTAACACCATTTTATTAAGTACCATATAAAATGACTATTTTAACTAATTGCACCCGATTACCAACTTATTAGCCTATTTATCGTAAGTACATTGGTATTAATTATTAAATTAGTTTTTAAAATATAAATACATTTGTTATTATTAATAAAACATTAATTCTAAAAATATAAATATGCTTATTTTTAATTAATTTGTTTATTTTGTTGGTATCAATGTTTATTAGTTCATTTCTTTACTTAACTAATAGCTAATTCCTATTAATAAAATATAATAAGCAACAATAGAATAATTAACGAAACACACTTCAATTGATGAAATACAAGACGAGACATTTAAATCGAAATACATAACTCATAAAATAACAAACAACATAACATGATAACATAATATGATAAACAATAACATAAATTATATAAATTTAAATCATCATGAACTGCTTATTTAAATTCTCATGTCGTACTTAATATATGATTTATGCAATAATTTATGAGATTATTGTTTATATATGATTTTATTATATTTAAAATAATTTGAGTTCATGTTATTTCATGTTTAGACAACTTTTTAAAATTGATAACATAATTTTTAAATTATATAGTTAAAAAATTTATTACTTAACATTGGATCTATAATTAATATTTAGGAAATAAAATATTATAAAATTACGAGTTATGGTTTTGGGGTATATATGGTGAAATGCCATTGGAGACCAAACCAAATTCCAATTCCTATAAGTGGTGAAATGGTGAAATATTATTATTTTAATATTAGGTCTAAATTTGGTGATACCCACTGGAGACCAAAACCACAATTTTTCCTCTAAAAATGGTGAAAGAGTAAAATAGTGTGCTTGGAAGATGAACTCATTTTTTCACCACCATAAATGAGATTTGGTGAAAAAATGGTGAAACCGGTCGGAGATGCTCTAAGACTAATCAAATCTCTCTAATTAAATTATGACTCTAGTCTATGAATGAACCACTTGATAAACATACATTAAGCTTAAAACCCATTTTATATATGATGTTGTTTAGTACCTTGATTTCACTTATTTGATTAAGTTACTATAACATTGTTTGAGTATGGTTAATTGGTAATAGTATCATGCGAACTGAACTTGGGTTGACTCAAACTCACATGTGGCTTTATTACTAGTATAGGTTCAATCTCATATATCATCGGGCCTACCACTATAGCCTATGAACGAACCACTTTTTTTTCTCGGTCTTTTTGTAATGAAAAAACCCGTAGCCAACCATATAGGTACACATGGTAAACCTACACTCTTGTATAAAGTTTGCAAACCATACGAGAGACGTAAACCATTAGGCTTAAAACCATATATGAACGAACCACTTGATAAATATACATTAAGCTTAAAACCCATTTCATAAATAATGTGGTTTTGTATCTTGGGGCCCCGTTTGGTTGGCAAGATAAGATTAACCAAGATAAGATTAAATAGTCTAATGAAACCCAATTATTTTATTGGAGCTTGAAATGTCCAACAAAAAAAACTCATTAGAATGCAAGATAAGCCAAGGTAAGCCATAATTACATATTTTGGCGGGTCGAACCGACAATTTATTGGGAATACCAAACATCAAATTAAGTCCAAATAATAAGTTAATTTTGGTTTATCTTGGCGACCAAACGGGCCCTGATTATATTACACGTATTTGATTAAGTCCCTATAACAACATTGTTTGAGCAATGCCGTTTGACATTCAAAGGGAAAATAAATAATTAGTTACTCTATTGTGCCGCTGTTAGCCGGCAGGTGAATATTTCTTCCGGCAGGTGAATATTTCTTGTTAAATTCAATTCACAACACTATAAATTATACACCAATTTATTATAAACTCCATTAATCACCTCCAAATTTTACCAAATTAAGTATTAATTAATTAGAAAACAAAACTTGTTGACCTACTCCAATTAGTTCTACAATGGCTTTAAGATCAGCTTTCTTGATTACGATGATAATTGCATTAGCCGTTGCTCCGGCGGCTTTTGCCACCGATTATACGGTTGGAGACGACTCCGGCTGGAAATTAGGCGTTAATTACACGGAATGGGCCGAGGGCAAAAACTTCCGTGTCGGTGACACCATCAGTATGTGTTGCTCACAATATTTATTTTTTCACCTCTTATCATATTACACAAAAATTATACTTTTGCTTGTTCTAATATTTGTCAAAAGCCAAAGCAAACAAATTACTACTATTTGGATATATAATGATCTAAAAATAAATTATGGTGAGTTTGAAAAAAAAATGAAAAAAGTAGAATTTGATGTGTTAATTAGTACGATTGAAATTGTTATTTGTTCTTAAAAGTTAGTATTATTTGTAAATGTGCTAAAAAATAGGCTTTAATCAATTAATTTGAAAGTTGTATTGTGTTTGCAAACTAACTTCAAATTGTAGCTTATTTTTGTAATACCAGCTAATAAAAGCATAAGGGAGAATGTTAAAAAAAAAAAAAAAACAATTAAAAATACATACAAAATTAGTCTTTGCAATTCCCTCAAAATTTATATCATTACATTGTTTTCTTTATTTTTGTTGCAGTGTTTATGTACAAATCTGGAGCTCACAATGTAAGATTAAATTATTTGTGTCAGATTCAGTTTTTCGTTACTGTTGCGTGAAGAGTTGCAACGACAGGAAATGATGTGATTCCTCTTGCGACACCTGGCAAGAAGTGGTATATTTGTACTGTTGGCGAGCATTGCTCCAAGGGGATGAAGCTCGTCATCACTGTATCTGGGGCCGAGGGGTCGGTCACTTCGGCCGGGACCACTGCAGTTTCTGCATTGAGATCTTGCGTGTCGATACTTACAACGATGGTTGCCTATAAAATGGTCGTGGGTAATTAGTTGTAACTCTGAGGGGTGGGTTTTCGAAATAAATTAAAAGATGGGAGCTAATTTTATTTTTGTTTGTTTACTTAGGAATAAACTATACAAAGTAATTTTAAAATTTTCGAAATGATATTGATTTGTTTGAGCATCGATCGATCGGATACAAATGATTTGAGATGTAAGAGTAAGTTATTTTAAAGGTATTTCGTGAGTCTGTAGTTTTGGTGTAAGGGGTTCGATGACATCCTGTGTTAATGTTTTGTTGTGGTAATGAATGCTCGAAGAGCGCTTTACGAAAGCGATACTTACATATTGGCTCTACAAGCACAAGAAATAGAAATTATCATAACATTGATAGAATTTCAAAGAGAAAATGATCAGAAAATAATTCAAGATCATTTTCAATTGCATGTAGAGATAATATCATCACCACATCAATTTCTTATCAAGGTTGATTATATTTAGATCGATGATATATTTTATTAGACAATACAACCTTCTATTTATAAAGAAATAAAGACATACATATTTATGTATAAATCATAATTTATAAACATGCCTCTATCCTTTTAATATTTACACATATCCGAATCCCCATTTTTGTGTGTCCTAATTTGCTTAGAAATGATGTTTATATATTGGCATCGCATTGTCGACGTTTACGTGTTTGTGCTACATAGTATGCCAGAACTTTGTTTATGTGACGATGTTTCCATGTGTAGATTGAGATTAATTAATTTGAGCACTTGTACATCTACACGTCACGGCTCTTCCACACCCTATAACCAACTTCAACTTTGAGGTAGAAAGCAAATAAAGATCGAAGCATCGCGATTATGCCGGAGATCCGACAATCAAAGCTTGATGGAAATCGTAGAATTCTAGGAACACCGCCACGGTTACCAACAATTCTCATATGCAATGAATGAGAGAGAGAGAGAGAGAGAGAGGGGGGGGGATGTCGAGGTGATAAAAGAGAACGGATAAATTAATACTTATTAATTTATACATTCATTAATAACTTACTAATTTATGAAATTATTATTATTATTATTTTCAATAAATACATGTTTCTTTTATTTTCGACGTAGATATAATTTATAGTAACATTAGGTCAATGTACCATATAGCCCCTTTCTCTAACGGAAGCTCTTAAAGCAATGATGGTATCGAACAATTTTCTGTTGAGTTATGAGAAAACTATACCAGAAGTTCTAACCATATTAAGAAAAGTGAGGGACGATATTGATGGTAATGTGAACTTCAACAAAAAATAAGCGACGATAAAACCATCTTTTATCAAGTCTTAATAGATCTTTAAAAAATTGTATTGTACTATGTAATTTAAGAATTATTTTTATGCATTACTATTTTATATATTAGATGGGGCTTCTTAAAATTTTCGAATGTGTATTATCTTATAAATTTAGTGAATAATTAATTTAGCATGTTGTCCCCGAGTCGAGACCGGGAAAAAGTATTATTTAACCGAGGTTATTAATTTATCGAGGTTCTACAGTATATACATTGTTATTTTTTTGAAAAAAAAATACATTGTTTTGAAAAATTCTGAAAATTCCGAAAATATTCAAAACAGAAAAAACAAAAGTATTCCGAGTAATTCCAAAAAATCCGGAAATGAATCAGAATCAGAATCAATCTTGAATTCTGAAAAAAATAGAATCGGAATTGGAATTGAAATTCCAAATAAAAAAAATCCGAAATGGTCAAATCTGATCCATTCGATCCGATTTCTACTCTTACACACCCTTATATGACTATAAAAATCTAGCGTAAAATATCACCCGACGAAAGAAATCTTGTAACCCTTATAACTGTAAAAATCTAGCGTAAAATATCACCGGACGAAAGAAATCGGATCTCAAAAGCTAGTTAACAAGTTATGACTAGGGGTGGAAATCGGACGAAGTGGATCGGAAATACCTTATTTGAAAGTTTTTCAATTTTTTTCAGAAGTTAAAAATAGGTTCCAAATACCGTTCCAAAAAAATTGGAATTTCAAAATACATTCCAATTTCGGAATATCTCGGAATCGGCGAAATTTCGGAATTTTCGGAAATTGCATTAATTCTTAATTTTTTGTTCCAAAGTCAGAAATAATTGTAATTTTAAGATATTTTCGTAATTTTTCGGCAAAATGCAAGAATCCAAAACACTGGTTAATAAGATGAAATGTAAACACTTATAAAAGCAACATAATCAGTTTATTAAAGCAAACATAGTTCTTGCAAAACATGAATAGAAAAATAATTCAGAAATACAATATATATATATATATATATATATATATATATATATATATATATATATATATATATATATATATATATAACAACTATGTAAAAGAAAACTTGCCTCTTTGTAACGGCACTGAGAATGAAAATATTTGACTGAAATATAAAAGAAAGATTTGTTGTTATTTACTTACAGTCGATGCATTAGCGCATTGGAATTTCTATCAGATTCATCTTCTAAAATTTTTATAAACTCCAATATAATTTGATCCCACAACTTGCCTCTTTGTTGATCGATACTGATTACTGCATCTTTTGAAATATGTAGCCAAAACTTACACAATGTTTCATCTTCGTTCATAGTCCAGTATGGCTGCCGCTCTCTGTGCCCGCGACCTTAGGTACTCTTGGTGCTTGACGTGTTATTAGTATGCATTTGCTGCTGAGTTGGAATTTGAGATGGACCTGCAAACCGAATTAATTGAACGGAAAATTTGGAAATTGTTGAGATTGTGAATTAAACGCTTAATGAGCAAATTGTTGGTTGTACGGAAATTGTTCTGAAAATGCTTGAGACTCATGTGGTAGTGGTGGCTGAGAACTATATTGTGAATTGATATTAGGATTAAGAACAATACATTGATCCATAATTTATATGTAAGACTATTATTTATTGGTGAATCAAAATTGTGAATTATAAGTTATAACACAACAGATGACGGCTATTTATAGCAGAACATCATTGAAATATGTGCCTTGTATGTACATACACATACGAGAAATCTAAACCATATATCATAACATTTATATTTTTTATATAATATATATCATACATTATATATTTCGGAAATAAAATTGGATCGGAAATCAGAATTTCTAATAATTGTATATGTAATTCCAATTCCGTTCGAAAAATAATCTTGGAATATCAAAAATCGGAATGAAAAAATAGATTCCAAATTCGAATATTTTTGGATCGGAATTGGTGGAATTCGAAAATTCCGTTCCAATTTCCACCCCTAGTTATGACTAACTAGTTCAATAATGCTTACAAGTTACAAGTAGGCGGAGACAGACAAATACACATTTCCTTTTCCGTTATCAAATTCAATTATTTCCCCACATAAAAGATCACGTTATACACAATGCAATATTTAATATTAAATAATATTCCCCAGTCAAATATTTACAATCCTCAGGCGGCGCTAGGGGAGCTAGGAATTTCGCCAATTTAGATTGTAGAACAACTTTTTTCATTCTAATTTCCGAAATTCTAGTTTTCGGATTTTTCCGGTTGATTTTGATCGAAACCAGAATTATGTAAAAATAGTTGGAATCTCCGATATGCGATTCGATCCGGATTAATTTCAAAAATTAATTCTAAAAACTTCCAAATATTTTTCGAAAGATAAACCTGTAAAAATATTTTACTATATTTCACAATTAAAAAACCTCGTTTGGTTGTCAAGATAAGATTAAATAAAAATAAAATCTAAGTATATTATCGGATCTTGGAAGTTTCAATAAAAAATATGCCTAGCTAGAAGGCAAGATAAACCATGGTAACATAATTTTGTGTGGGATACCAAGCACCAAATAAAATCCAACTATTGAAGTAATAATGATTAATCTCCTTAATCAACGAGACCAATTATAATATTTTTATTATAAAACATAATCCATCATAAACAAAAGTGCAAATTGCGGCCACCCCTGAGGTATGGCCAAATTACAAAAAAATCTCTCTTGTTTCAGTAATTATAGCCACCCCTCTTTAATATTTTTACATAAATTTTATGTAATTCGGTTAATTTACAGAACCAAATCGTATATTTAGTTCGGTAAACAGTATGAAATGTTGGCTTACCGAAATTTCGGTTTAATTTAACCGACTTGGTATCTCTACCTGAAACGGTAACTGAAATTATTTATTTGGGAGATCTACCTTAATAACTTTTTCAAACGAGCGGTCATACTAATTTTTCCGTTAAAAGTAATCGTGTGAGAATATCAAAGGCTAATTAACCAGCTATAACTAGTTAGTTCAATAATGCTTACAAAGTTACAAGTAAGTAGGTGGAGACAGACAAATACCCATTTCCTTTTTTTCTGTCTCCAAATGGCCAAATACAATAATAATTCATAGTTATCAATAAAGAATAAAAAATCAGTATTCCCCGTAAAATATCACGTTTTTCACACTGCAGAGACTTTGCAATATTATTATTCCCCGGTCAAGTATTGCAATCCGCAGACAGACGTGGCAATATTCCATTGGTGAATCCAACACAAATAAAAAATACACAAATTAATATTTTTCTATGGCAAATTACGAGCACCCATGAGGTATAGCTAAATTACGAAACCCTCCCTTCAACTATGTATTATCGTACGAAAATACCCCTTTAGAGGTAAATTAAGGGAAATCGAACCAAAATTTCGGTACGCGAATATTTCATATCGTTTATCGAACTGAATACATGATTTGGTTCGGTAAATAATCGAATTACATTAAATTTTATGTAAAAATACTTAAAAAAAAAGAAGGGAAGCAGTAATTACCCAAATAAGAAGGGTTGTTTCGTAATTTTGCCATAACCCAGGTGGCCGTAAATCCCTCTATTTTTTTATATTATAAAACACCAATATTCATAAAACAAAAGCTGGTCAACTCAACTCACAGATCTACTCCTTCCTTCCCCCAAAACACACACACACACACAGAGTAGAGAATCAATGGCCGCTTCATCTTCCAGTTGCTTCTCCCTTCTTCTCGTCAAGTCTCAGAGCTCAAACAACACAAAAATGGCGGAGATTGCTCATTATTTCTCCGCAACAACACTAATTTGCGGCGGCTACTTCACACAGCCGCCCCAACAAAAACAGGCTCCAATCGATCAAACAAGTATATATATACCCATTTTTTTGTTTTTTTGTTAATTTTTAATTTCCGATATATGAAGATCTCGTGATTATTTAAACCAGCTGATTGTCGATCGTTAATTAATTGTAGTGTGATGGTTGATTGTGGATCGTGAATTTTTTTTTTTATTTTTTTTTTTTGGTGCAGGGATTTAGTTGTGAGGAACGCAGCTCCGGAAGCAGCTGCTACTGTTGATCTTCTCTCTTCTTTCTCTCTCCCCTCCATTCCCGGAATTTCTGATAGTCCTTTGTTAGTTTCCTTTATTTTTATATGAACTTCACTTTACATTTTTATATTTTTAGTTTATCATACATGTATGTGTGTATAACTTAAAGTGGGAATAATCTAATAGCATCTTCAATACGTTTAATTTGTTTAGAAAATAATTGAATTTCTTCAATTTTTTTATAAAGTTTAAAAACAGGAATTTTTTAATATTTAATTCTGTTGATTTTTCTTATAAATACGTTTATTTGATTCTGTTGCTTGAGCTTCTCTTATGTGTTGGCTCTTTGAGATGAACCGAAGTAGTACCATAATTACTTGGGTAAATTACTGTATTCATCTGAGTTAAGGTCAAATTACGAAAATACCCTATCTTGTTTGGGTAATTACATCCACTCTTCAATTATGTATTGTTTTACTGTATTTATTCCCCTGAGTTAAGGTCAAATTACGAAAATACCCTATCTTGTTTGGGTAATTACATCCACTCTTCAATTATGTATTGTTTTATGAAAAAAAGTTCATCATTTCGTAGATAAATTTGATACTATAAGGGTGAACTTGTAAATCATTTTTCGTAATTTGACATTATATCAGGGGCGTCTGTAATTTGCCCAGAGTAAAGAAAAAATAAAATTGAGTACTAATAATGTGATTGATTTGACGAATCCTGGATGGCAGGATAGCTCTGATCGCGGGATTGACGGTGGGATTACCTTTCGTAATCCAACGGCTATTAACATTGACAAGTAATTGAGTTTATAATAATTCGTCTTTTTTTTTTTAATCCATTAGATTAATGGGAGATGGAAAAAAATATTTTACTAATTGTTGTTGAGTTTGATAATATGGGTGGCAGAGGAGATTGATATGGCGGCAGAGACGGTGGAGAAAATAGCGGATGCGGTGGGGAAAGTGGCGGATGAAGTCGATAAAGCGGCGGAAGGTATAGCGGAGTCGCTACCGGAAGGCGGACTTAAGAAAATGGTTCATGTTATTGAGGATTTGGCTGAAGAAACTGCAAAGGATGCTCAGAAAGTTGAAGATCTCATGGATAAGGTAACTATTAATTCATTATTTATTCTTTAGTCAACCTAATTTATGATGCAATTAGAGACTATTTTTCCACGTACTAGTAAATTATATAAATAAATAATCTAATAATAATAAAATAAAAAATTATATTAAAAAGTACGAAAATTGTATCTAATTTTATTCAAGTCAAGCATTTTATGAATTTATTATCCAGAAAAATATTTTTCAAAATATATATATATACTCTTTTGTCTGAAAGCTCGAGCCCGAACTCGAAAAATTCAAGCCTGATCTCGAGCTTTTGTCGAGCCGGCTCAGCTAAATGCACGCCCTCTTGGTTTCTTGGAAAAAACTAAAGTCATTATCATCTATTCTTATTAAAGGAGAAAATAAAATAAATCGAATTAAATGGTGGCAACCCATATAAGTTATGATCATAGGCAAGTGGGATTTGAATTGAAAATTATTCAAATTAATAATTGTAGTAGTTGGGTTGTTGGCATTGATTGGCACGTGAAGCAGTCCCCACCTTTCCCAATTTGATTTAGTATTTTCCAATTCATACTTGCAAATTATATTTGCCATTTATCCCATTTACATGATAATCATGTTCACACTTTACAGTTTTGTCCTTTGTTTTATTTTTCAGAATTGTTTTTTCGGATGCTTTGGTACTAAAGATTTGTGAAACAAATTTTGCCGATACTGTTAAATCTCTATAAATTAATATAATCGGGAGTCGGGACTTGGGAAATTCTATTAATTTAGCGAAATAGTAAATTATCAAGTTAATAGTTTAGCATGTTTTCACCGAGTAGAGAACTGAAACAATTTATTATCTAAACGAGATTATTAATTTATTAAGTATTAATTTTATCGAGATATCTTGTATAGGTGGAAGAATTGGACGACAAGCTGGAAGCATTTTTGGAGAAGCAATCAAAAGGTCCTGGAAAAGCGTGAAAAAAGTGGAAAACAATTCATTATTGAAAGAGAGGGGTGCTACATGATATTAAAGTGTTATCTGCTGCTGATAAAAAGTGAAGATAATATTCCATAGGATTAATTAAAACATATGCTTAATTAGAGATTAAATCCCTTTTGTCTTATTGCAGCATGTAATAACTCTCATACTTTCAAATCTCATTGTTTGTTGGTAATTAAATTAAAATTCCACGCTGAATTAATAATGCCTTTCAAACAATAGCTGGAAGGGGAAATTAGCTCATATTTTTTCTAATAGCTATGGCTTGAAAAGTAAATAGAAAAAGGGGAAATTAGCTGGAAGTTTCTCAAAAATATTGTTTATAGCTATAAGGACATGTGGATTTTGCTATTTCGTTAAGGAGTTAAATGCAAAAACCACCCCTGTGTTAATCCTAAAAACCAAAAAACCCCCTATGATAAAAAAAGTGACAAATACCCCCCTATAATGTGTTCAAGTAAGCACACTCAACCCTTTTTGTTTTCCCCCGTTGACCACTCATGAAAAGACAAAAAAGCCCTCAAGAAAAATATTTTAAGGCTGAAACAATTTTTTTGAAATTTTCAATTCAGTCCATTGTATTTTCAATTAAGCCCTCTCTCCAATTAAAAAACACACAGTAACACACAAATACACACACTTCTCTCTGCGCAAGTATACAAACCTCACGCCACCACTGTCGTCTCCGCCGCCACCTTCTTATCATCATACAAATCTCAAACCCACTCAAGATTCAATCCATATCCGTCAAAAGCTCCGCCCAATTCAAAACAAAACGGGATTTTTTGCAACCTCTAAGGTGGAGGACGTTGATCCGACGAGTTTGCTCCCGAAGAAAACCGCCGGCACAAGGCCACTGTAGCCCATCCTCGATTTCCTTACCCCCTGAATCGTGTTCAATTTCGATTTTCTCCACTAATTGAAGGCTGGAATTCTGAGTTGTTGGGGGAGGAACTGAAGACGGTGGGGAAGAATTGAAGTGGTGGCGGAATTGAAGAAGGGGGTACGGACTTACGGTGGAATTGAAGGTGGCGGCATATTAGTGAAATAATAAATCTGAAAGTGGCGCCGATGGGCCATTTGCGAGTGAAGACGACGATTTTGAGAGGGCCAATGGTGGATTTTTGCTCTTCGTCGAAGAACTCGTCGAAGTGGAGGTCGCCGGACGACAACTTGGAGAAGAGATTTAAGCGGGGGGAAAGGATGATAAAGGGAATTGCTGCAAGCAGATGGCGGCGAAGGAGGCTTGGGCAACTCTGAAGGTAGAACTTGATTTTTTAATGGCGGCGGCGGAGGAGGCTTGGGCAGGGAAGAAGAACATGATTTTTCAATTAATTAATTTATATAATATATATCTTTTCACAATTTATTTGTTTAAATTGAAAACTAAAAATACAGAAAGTTTCATAGGGGCCATTTTGTCTTTTCATACAAAATATTGTACAAAAATCAAACAGGAGTCGCACGAATAGCGCGTGAACGACACAGCCGATCGGGAGGGGGGGAAACGACTTTGACTATTGAATACAGGGGGTTTGGGTCACTTTTTTTATCACAGGGGATTTCTGGTCTTTAGGATTAACACAGGGGTAATGTTTGCATTTAACTCTTTTGTTAAGTGTCTATGTATGCTCTCGGTCTAACAAGATCGTTAACGGAAATTAACAGTAACAGTAACGCAGTGATTTGCGCAATTTAGCTATATTAATAAGTAACACCATAGTTAATGTACTGTGAATAAAAAACGAAAAAAAAGGGAGCAAATTAGAACAGGTCTGCCCATTTAATCCTTATAATCGGACGCTAATCATTATCAGACACGTGGACACTAAAATGACAAGTGGGTTGCCCATTTTATACGAAACACAAAAACTAATAAAAAATACTAAAAAATAAAACATTTTCTCTAAAATTATTCACCCAACGACAATTTCAAACTGTGTTCTAAAAAACAATTTAAGGGGTTTTTGTGTATAAGTTCCTAACCAAACATCTTTATTATTCTAAATTTATGGGTTATATCTCTTTCACCAATAAGTCCATCCCTTTTAATATTTATTATAAATAAATGAAACATTCATGTATATGCCAATATTACCCCCAATTCTTTATACCCAATTCTTAATTGTAACCCCAATTTAATCAATTTTGTTCACAAAAATCCAATTTTGACTTTTTTTTTTCAAAAAAAAAATTTTGCCGCCGGATTCCGGCGTTGACTTTTCGATTTTTTTTTTCTTCCGGATTTTTTCGCCCGTTTCTGGCGTTGACCGGCGGTCTTCGACGTTGATATTTTTTAGTGTTTTTTTTAAGTTTTTTTCCCTTTTTTTAATTTTTTTTTTATTATTTTCTTTTTGTTTTGTTTTTTTTTTTTTACGTCAGCCGCTAAACGTTGACCGTAATTGTGTTGTCACTGACAGTAAATTAACGTAATGATACTGTCAATGACAGTTAATTAACGTAATTGTACTGCCGTTGACAATACATTTATGTAATTGTTCTGTCGTTGACAGTAAATTAACGTAATATTATTATTTTTTATTTTTTGTTATTTTTTTGTTTTGTTGACAAGTCAACGTAATTATATTACTGTCGTTGACGGTAAAATAACTGTAAACACAATAATATTATTGTCAAGAACATTAATATTATTTATTTTTTGGGTTTTTTGTTTTGATTGAGTTATTACGGAGTAACGTAATAATACTACTGTCTATTATTTTAATAATATGTGTGTGCCGTGTGTGCGTATGTGTGGTTGAGACATGAATGGTGGGATGATTGGCATATATGATGAACGATGAATGCTTATGTGATCATATTATCCATGATTGGTATTTGTGATGTTATCCGACGATTGTGCTCCGACGCCCGAGTCAGTAAACTATCATAGTATAAATAATTAATGTTAATTAATTGCCCGAATAGTTCGTACCTTGTTATGTAAATGATTGCACATATTTATAGGTGGAGTTTGATATGATTTTCTTGTTAAAAACCAATGTAGGACAAGTTGAATGTGATTAAGAGTGCTAAAGTTTTTCCTCTAGATGCGCCAATTTGAGCATGTTGCGTCTATCTCCAATTATATACATCAATCATAAATATCGATCAAGTGTGTCAAAATATAATATCACAAAGACTATTAGTCACATATTGTCACATAAACTAATTAAATCTCACATATTACACAAACACATACACGGTTATGCACACACATGTTTCACATAACTATAATGAATTTCACCTAATTTAATTAATTGAAACATCTAAGGAATAATATGTAACAATTTAGTGAACATTTAAACTAAACTTAGTCTATTATACACAAACATAATCCTCTTAGTAACGATCTAAGTTAAATTTGTCTATTAAGTTCAGCTTCAAAGATTTAATCCATTTTTTCAAACATCTCCTTTTAATAAAAACAATGTATTTTATCAAACATCTCTTCAAAGATTTAATCCTTAAAACAATGTATTTTATCAAACATCTCTTCAAAGATTTAATCCATTTTTTCAAACATCTCTTTATCTTTGAAAATCCGTTTCTCTTAAATCTTAACTTCAAAAATTCTAAAACCTTAACACAACCCTCTTTTATGAGTTTAGAACTCCCCATTAATACAATTTTATAAAATAATTATTCAATTAAGTACGATACTTAGTTGACATTCAAAAAAATTATCTATTGAATAATTAATTATGAGTTCAATACATCATGTTTAGCAGCAGAAAGACAGGTATTCCTGGCTCATTATCAGACAATCACTTATTCACAAACTTTGTGTGGGCCTATACTTTGCATTTCCCATTTCATGGAAAACCCTTTTTGCTCCGCTTAGCCTTATCCCCCTCTAAGGGGATTTTTTAGAGATTTTAGTGATAGGTTCTATAGGAACTGGACGATATATCCTATTTGGTCGAATACCTAGAGACAAACTCCTATGTTTCTTTCATTACGGTATTTCTGGACAAGTTCCTGGATAACAAGCCTAAAGTTTTCTTATTGATGATGTGAGCGGTTCAAATTGATTTGATCTTTCCCACTCATTTTGGACGGAACTTGATGCTCGGCGCTCCCAGCGTCGGCTAGCATCAAGCCGCCGCCTGCGCGGACGACAACCTCGCCTCGGTTATGTAGTATGTGCACTCCTTTTTTTCTGCCCCCAATTTAGTTTTCTTTTTTCTTCAGCTTCGCATTTCATTAAGGTCCTATTTTTTCTCTGTCTGCGGTCCCACAGGGTTGGTGTTTGGGAACCATTAATTAATCTAGGTCTGAAATTCAGATCTGGTGGAAGAAGAAATTAGCTTTTGTGGCATTGTCTAAAGACTGGATTTTTATTTATTTTTTCATCACAAAAATTGGAGCAAGGTGTTCTTCCTCTCAGTACAATGATGGGCCCCACTTCGGATCCGTTTATTTTTTTATTTAATTCTTTTTTTTTTAATAATTATTTATTTAATCTATTTGTTTGTGAATTGGGTGCTAAAGGTTTCATTTTTTTCTGATATGTTGACATAGAAAGAATCTTTAGTCTAGCTTAATTCAGATCTTAGATTTTGTTTATGTCGCATGTTTATTTTTCCTCTTAATTACATGATTTTTTTCCTCCAATCCATGATTTCAATTTAATTACTTAGATTTAAAATTGAATTTTTTAGAATTTTTTTATTAATTTTTATTTGATCCGGAGTTATATATATAATCGGGTATGAATGGAATCAATATTTGTTTTAGGAAAAAATGACTTGAACTAGTAGTATCGTTCCACGTGGAAGTGTCGGTTAATTCGAATTCCTTCGGTACGTCCATATGCCGTGCATAAATTATAATAAGATGAATTGTAGAAACAAAATGTATTTACTTTATGTGAAAATATTTGGTATATAATGATAAGTTAATATTGGGGATCTTGATTTTTTTATTTTTCCTTTTAAATTAAAAAAAAAAAATTGTTTGTCATAACTGCATAACGAGGAAGATTACTGAAGAGGGGTTATATAGTTGTCCAGTATGCAATGCTCATCTTGGTTCTGCTCCACTTCAAATGCTCAGGTATTATAATTAATTAATTAATTAATTTATTTATTTATTAATTAATTATAAGACTCGATTATGTCGTTATCGTAAATAGTCGTAAATAGTTTATGCATGGGTTAAAATCTACAGGATGGACCATCGTTGGTAAAGCATGATGAACAATTTCAACAATGAAGGAAGAAGAGAACAACATGCAGGAAGTGGACTAAATGTAAGAGAAGAAATAAATAAATTAATTAATTAATTTTTAAAATTATTTTCATTTGATTTTAAAAAGATATATCGAATCTAATTAATTTACGAAGCGAATACGAGGTACTAATACATCATCATATAAGTGCACATTTCGAGCATTTAATGTACTTTTCCGTCGTCGCGTTTTTCTAACGTACACACATACCCAATTAACTCTATTTATTACTTAATAAAGGTGGAGATTACTCTGCAAGGACGAAGATTGCTACCTAGTTTGCAAATAAGTCGATTGATCGAACTGTGGCTGCAAATGTTTTCTACCTCGGAAAGGAAAACGGCAATTGTCGATCAGTTCGTCCGCACAGGAGTTTGTCCTGCCTCTTACATATGCTCGTAATTAACCTGCTTTTTAATTTCTCCGTAAATAAATTATGACTATTAGAATCTTAATTCGATTATTGTCAAACTAGCCTTTTTCTGCACAATTATCGTACTTTTTAAGACCTTAATTATTTAATTAGCAGATTTGCTACCAAACCTTGGTTTAATTTCTATAATATACTTTATTGTGACATGGTCCTAGGTTATTACATATATACTAATAATGTGTTAATTTAGTGCATGTCTCTTGCTTATTAGAACTAACAATAGAGCAAAACAATATATATATATATATATATATATATATATATATAAGACAAAGATTTACAT